ATGTCTGTTATTTAATTCACTTCCTCAGGTCAGGTTATCCTGTCCTCTCCCTCCTGCACTTCCTGTTGCTGGAATCAGGTCAGCCTGAATTCGTGCATCCTCATCCCAACTGCAGTCACGTCTATTTCCAGCAGAAAGAATGTTCTCCATCTCTTTCTCTGCTCCAGTATCTTTATTTGCTGCCCTTGATGTTCCTTTGCTGCTCCTCTCTGGGCTCCACATGCAGTAAACGTTTCCCTTTCATCCACATCTCCTCCCCCACACCCTTCTCACTGCTCCTCTCTCGGCCCCTCCTTCTGGCTTCTGCAGTAGTCACTAACACAGTTAGCCACCGGATTAGTGACTCAGTGATTTCAGGACCTAAGGACCTCAATTCTCTCAAAATGCCCACGCCTCTCTTCCCAAAGTCAAGATAAAGATCCAAAAAAACCCAGTGTCATAAGGATGACACGGAGGCGGCCTGCACACTGTCTGTCAAGGTGCCTTTGCTTCATCCCCTTTGCTCTCTGTATGTTTAGCTGGGGCTCTTTATGCTCTATTTAGCTTTGCTCTAGGAAAGGTAGACAGAGAAGGGCTGAGCCTGGAAATGATGAATCCCAAACACCTCCTTTACATGGGGGAAAATTAAGCCCTGAGAGCATAATTGGCCAGCTACACAGATAACCTTGGTGGAACCAAAGCAGAGAAGATGAAAATGGAATCAAATTGTAGAGTTAGGTAGGATAAAGAGTGATTAGGCATGAAGAGAGTTAAAGAAAGATTTCACAATTATTTAAGAGTTCCTTCACACATTCAGTTCTTCCGTCAGAGGTCTGTACAAGCCAAAGTACAGGAATATCATCAAATTTCTGGGACATCTAGAGTAGCCCCTAAAAATGTCTAAAACAAAACCAAACTGCCATCAAGTTGACCCCTACTCATGGCAATCCTACATGGAGATTAAGGTGACCTATCTTCATGGAGTTTCCGAAGGCTGATTGTTAGGGAGTAGATTACCGGGGACCTAGGGTCAACCCAAACTTTCGACCTTTCTGTTAATAGGAAAGTGCTTAATAGTTTGCAATATCCAGGAATTCCTGAGAGACCTTAAAGGGAAAAAAGGGAGGAGGAACCCCAAAAGTATTGACTTCAAATAGATTTAATTTTTTTAACTCATAAGCACCTTACAAGACAGAAGGAACTGCTCTATAGAGTGTCAAAGGCTGCCAATCCCAGAAAAAAAGCTGCCTGTCACATCTTTCTCCCACAGAGCAGCTTGCGGCTTCTAATCACCACCATACAATTAGTAGCCAAGCATCAACCACTAGGGAAACCGTAGAAAGGTGCCTGAAACTCCTCCATGCTAAGGTCTTAGAGACTTCCTGTCACCTCAGGACCACATACAGGTGACCCAGACATCTGTTCAGGCTCTGTGAGCCCTGTCAGCATGGCAGGATGGAAGAGCCAGCAACAGCCAATGCTGGTGAGCGCTGCAGGAGTTCCACAGCCACTCGCTTTTTGGTGATTCATGCAGCATGCATAGTGATGAGCTGACAGAATTGTTTCACCTCATTGTAGGAAGGCACATATCCAGGCTGCAAAAAAACTTGCAAGGGTTGTATCAGTCAGTCTTGTAAGCATCAGCCTTCTCCGAGGAAAGACATGGACAGTGAATAAAAACCACTCAGTATTCTGACTGCTTGCTGAGCAAGTGGAAGAGGAACTTCCTTTTGTCACTTACGTGGAGAGGGGTATATCTTTAAGTGCAGGGGAGCTAAGCTAGAGCCTTTTAGGAAAGTCCCAGAAGCACGCCTAGAGTCTGGTGGCTGTCCCGGAAGCAGGTTCCCTTTCCTCCTGATGGGGACTGTTTGAGAACACTGGGATTTTCCAGTGTTGGAAGCTAAGCCATGTGGCTGCTGTTGCTGCTGCTGTTACTGCACATTGTTTGTGACTAAGAGATTTATTGATTTTCTAGCCTGTGACCACATCGGTTAGGGACAGAGTATGACAGAGGGAAATGATGGCAAGCCAAGTGGAAAGAAGGTTTATGAAATGAGCTCTCAATGAAGTCAACTGTGGGAAAGAATGCCATGGAAGCAGATTTGGGGCCAGTAGATGTGGGAAAGTGGAGCAACTCATAAATGCCTTCAGATTTGAGCTCAAACAACGCACTTTGCCAAAACACAGGAAGAGGATCCTGTGAGAAGGACTCACCACTGTTTATATAAAGCAGTAAAATCCTGTCAGTAAAATCATCTCTGACTACACTCTGCCCTCATTCTGTACCGGGCACCATGTTGGGATCTGTGGCTATAAGAAGAATCCGTCAATCTAAAGAAGCCTGAAAATAGACACAGAATAACTTGCAAAAACGCAAGTGCGTCTTAAAAAAGCTATAAAAACATGTTGCCTCAACTCTGGGCCCAGAGCCAGCAGGTATGAGGGGTGGGAAGTGGGAGAGGAGACTGGGCCCCAACTCCTGCTGGCTCCCCATGAAGATATGGGAAGTCTGTGACTGACCACCGTGTCAGATAGACCTTGGTCAAGCCCTTTCCCACTTACAGATCCAGAGGAGGTCTGCTTCAGTGATGGGAGCTGTGCTGGGACATTTATGAATATCCTCATGGTAAAGGGAACATTTGGTAGTTTAGATGTTAGTGCTGGAGGAAGCAAACAGCACCACGAAGTGTTTCTCTAAACTTACAGGTAAGAGCAAGCTATTTGTGACCTGACTCACTCACTCTCTCTCTTTCTCTCTCTCTCTCACTCACTCACTCACACTCTTTCTCTAGTTCACACACACATGTATACACAACCACCCACCCACCCACCACAAACCTGCTTCTCTATGTGGGGAGATTTCTTCCAACTCTACCCTCCTCTCTCTCTACCTTGCCCTTTTGTGAATAAAGAAATTAATTTTTTGTTGCTTTTTTTTCTTCAGCATCTTTGGCGCCCTTGAAAACTGAGCAAGAAAAAGCATTTCTGGTGTGTTTTTCTACATTGTGTAATAGGTAATGGAAAGGATGATGTACAAAATTATGAAAATATGGAAAAAATAGCATATAATTTTTAAAATGAGTGACTACACTCAGTAAACACTTTTAAAATAAAATCTTGTTTTTGTGGTTCTTGTTCACAAATGATGTAACCAGAAATAGTTCTTTTATACATTCCCCTGCAGGAATTCTTATTCTGCAGGACTTGGAGCCAGATATTGTACTGGAAAACCGCAAGGAGGTATAAACCAGACAACCTGAGAGTGGTTACACCGGGATATTTCAGAATGGGCCTACCATTGGCTAGAGGATTTCTGAGAGTTCAAGTCTAAATGAGGGGACCTTAGACCGTTCTAGTCTACTCTGGAGAACCTCAGAGTGGCAGAGCTTAAGTCAGAAAGGTTCATAAAGCATTTAAACTTCTTGTTTGGGAAAGGGAGGAATTCAGACTGGCAGGGGTGGCTCGGGGCCCTTTGGAAGTGAGCCTGAACCAGGGCTGTGGCCTCCTCACTCCTGGTCTAAAAGTCAAAAGGGGCTGGAACTCCGGGCCTTGTACAGAGAAGAATGTCCCTGGCATTATTCTCTTCACTGCAGAAAACTGAATGTTTTTAAAACAAGCCTGCAACCTGGCTTGGCAGTTACAAAGCTAAAAGCAAGGCTTGCTCTCCTGAGTGCGAGAAGTACTTTGGAATTCCCAAAGTCTCATTCGTCGCTCAGAAAACAAAATGGAACAACTTTCTTTGCTTTCCCTTCCCCTCTTGCAGCGCACCCCCTTCCACCGTGCAGTCGTTGTGCCTGGCAGATGTCCAGAAAGGCACCCTGTAATTCCACGGAACATTGTGCACATTTGCATCCATTTAACCGCTATTTACAGCCGCCCTTTACGCCACCTGTAAGAGGCAGCAGCATCTAAGAAGCTGGGCTGAGAACCCGGCGCTTTAGGTCCACTTAAAGATGCTCAAATCTGCAAAGTGGCTGACGCCTGGAGAAACCCGGAGACAGCGGGAGACGTTAGGCACCCATAGAGACATACACACATACAAAGGGGAGAGCGAGGGCGAGAAAGGGTGGTGCACGCAGGATGAGGGGGTCCTTCTTTTTTAGCACCTTTCATTAAATATTACCACCACAACCGTGAGTGGGAACTGCTGGGCCTTCCGAGCAGCTCGCTTCCTGCCTGGTTCTGGAGAATTCCGGAGGTCTGGAAGAGTATGAACGGGGAGCACTAGGGTGGGACCTACAATCCACTGGAATCAGAACCAGAGGGCACCACCTCGAGTCTGGGAAATAGGCTGGCGGATGTGAGACGCGGTCGTGAGGACATCAGCGTTCCTGTGCACGCCGCACTCGTGCAGCTCCGGGTAGCAAACGGGGTGAAGTGGGGGCGAGGGTGAGAGGAAGTCAAGGCAGCAGAGCGTCATGAAACGCTCCCTTGGCTTCCTCAGCGTTTCGGAGGCTGATCTCCAGGGGGTCTCGCGGGCCCTCCACGGGAGACTTCCAAGTTGCCACTGGCGCAGCTCCGGAGATCACGCGCCCCCACAAGCAGATACCCGGTGGCCTGAAATGCCCGCAGGACTCCCGCGATGCCCAGGACCGCATGGCGCGCTCAGAGCTCGCCAAGTTGCGCAAAAGGAAAAAAAAAAAAAAAACCACACACAAAACCCCCATCACACCAAAAATAAATACATTTTTTTTTTTAGGAAAAAACCTTTGAGGGATCCCGGGGGGCTTGTGGAGTGGGACGCAGAGTAAGAGTGGACCCCACGAGCCTTTGGTTTTAAGGAACCTCACTTCTGGGAAGGGACAGGGAACTGTCAATCAGCGAGGGAGGGAGCGCACCGGCGCTGGGTGATGTCAGCGGATCAGCTGCTCCGTAACAAAGACGGGGTATTACAGGAGAAAGTTACAGCCGCGGCGTGGACGCAGCGGCACCCCCGAGCCTCGAGGGCGAGGGGCCTGTGGGCGAAGGACGGAAACGACGGCGGCTGCCGCAGCAGCTGAAGGCCAAGGAATTAAAAGGGCTGTAGGGGGAGGCAGTGCTAGCCAGCCCCGACTGCTCCTCCTCTTCCTCCTCCTCCTCCAAACTCGCAGGGCGCAGCCCCAGCGCTCACTCAGCCGCCGGGAGCACCGGGAGGGACGGGAGGCCACCGCGCGGCCCGGAGCCGGGCAGGGTCCCCAGCCGCCATGGATAGCGACGACGAGATCGTGGAGGAGGCGGTGGAAGGTACTAGCATTTCTCGGGGGCCAGGAACGAAGGCGCCGAGGGCTCGGGCCGGGAGGAGTGGCGGGCGGCGGCCAGCAGGGCATCTGGCCCCGCGGTCGCCACTGTCCCCGAGGCAGGTGGCCGGCTGCGGCTCTCCGGCGGGGGCCAGGCGGCCACGGCCACGCCGCAGGGGGAACGCAGTGCGCGGCGGGGCGTGGGGCTTGGCGGGGCCGGGGGCCCCGGGAGGATCCGGCCGATCCATCCCGCGCGGCCCCAGCCTGCATCCGCCCTCGGAGTTGCGAAACCTGCCCGCACTCAGGCCTCCCCCCCTTTAGGGGGGTAGAGGGCGGCAGCCCCTGGGAGCAGTCTGATAGCAGCCCCCCCTCCCCTGCTTTGGCGGCCTCGAACCCCTCTCTCTGCCGCCAGCCCTTTTCCTGGCTCTCGCCTCCGTGCTCGCGACCGCGCTGGGTCGGCCCCCGGGCGCAGCGCACTGGGCCAGAGGCAGGCACGTGGCAGCGGGGCACCAACGGCCGCTCCGGCGAGAAGATGAAATCATTGCCCAGCAGCGGACTACCATCCCGACTCGGGGCTCGAACGCGCAGAGTCAGGGAGGCGGACGGCCCGCGCCTGTGCTGCCCCCGAGTGAACTCCGTCCCGCCGCGGCCTCCCCCTCCGCCGCGCGCCCGGGGCCGCCGCCACGCTGCAGGCGCGCCGCGAGCCCCGACCGAAATTGCTGGGTGACACTTAACTTTCCCAGTTCCGTGCAGTTGGCTGCGGGTGATATCACCGCTCTGCTGTGGCGTTTTCTCCGCCCTCTCGCCTGGCGCCCCTCCCCCGGCTTTCTCGCCACTTTGTTTTGCTGAGTTTCTCCACCTCTTGCTAGTTCTGGAAAAAACCGAGGTGGGGACGTTATACAACCTCGTTGTTTGTATCCGGAGATGTTATGATTTTGTAACAGTTGGATATTGAAACGTACTCGTTAGCGTTTCGATTTATTTGATTTTTTTACCCCTCGACTGTACGTCGTGATGTTTTGCAGTGCTGTGTGATATTATTCCATTTTATTTAAAACCAGGCATCCTAAGTAAATGAGTATTCGTTGTTGAGTGAATCCGATTTCCAGCTAATTTGTATAAGCCATTTCTCCCAAACAGTAAAAGAAAACAAAGTGGAGACACTGTACAAATGCTTTGAGGTACATAGTTATTTGTTCACTGAGACAAGGAATCCATTTTTATATTTTTATAAAACAAATGGACTCCTTTTGAAGTGCACCGGAGGTTTAAGATGACACTGCTTAGGTAATATATCCAAATTTTAAAAACAGTTAAGCATCCTAATGTAACAAAATTTCTTATTTCTTGACCCAGCTTCAAAGCCCATTTAAAGAATGTATTTTATTAAGTTGAAATTGGCAGAGTGTTGTGAATTCACAGGGCTGTTTATTAAGGTGAATGTGGGGTATGTAGAAAATCTTCTTGGAATTTAAAAGTTACTAACTTCTTGTGCAGCCAGTGTTACTAAAAAAAAAAAAAAAAGAATGAATGAAAATGCCCTTCTTAAATTGTCAGGGCTTGCTTTCATTATGCAGAGTTTCCTTTTACTTGTGAAAATGTAAACCCTTGTCACTGGCGGCACCTCCGAGGTTAAGCACCTTCGCCTTTGAGGTGGATGTCCCTTGGTCCTGGGGCTCATTTGCGGAATGTAAACAAGCTGCTTTAGAAATGTATCAGGGCTGTTTTTTAGATTATCCTGTGGATTAGAAGCAGGAAAGGTTCTTGGGTAGTTAAAGGGCGACCATGTGCATCATTGTATCAGAGCACTGTAGAGATAAAAGAAGTAACTATTAATATTTTCTTTCTGGGAAATCGGGCTTAACCTTTGAATGTATAGGCTAATCCAGGATACAGTGACTGAATACCTAACTGTAAACAGAATTGGTTTTAAATGCATAGAAGAAGCTTTGCGCCAATGGGCTTCTCCCGTTCTTGGTGCAGGCTACAATGCTCTTGTCTTTACCATCCCACACAGGCATGAAGGGATGGGAGAAACTTCCCCAAAGAAGCTAGTTTAAATATTTTCAGGTTCAGGACTCCCTAACTTATTTATGTGCACAGAACCTCAATTCTCTGTTGTTTTCCTTGTCATAGCTGTTATTGTTACAATAATTACTTTGTTTTTATCGTGTTCAGGCTCTCTGCTAAGTGCCTCACACATTTTCCATTCAGCCTTACTAGGTGAGTTCTCAGATGATCCAGATTTTAGAGAGGAGAGAACTGTGGCAGAAAAAGTTAAGAACTTAAGCCTAGGTCACTTGGGTAAGTGGAGAGATAGATTTGAAGCCTCTAAATCCCCTCATTGGCTCCCGAGTCCTTTAATTTTTAATGGATCAGTCAAGTATATAAGATAATTCTATATAAACTGTTTTTAAAAGCATCAGTTAAATATTATGTCAGCATTTTTACCAGTATAACTCTTTAAAGGTTGGGGCTGTTATAAGTCAGGGAGTTGAATGTGTGTAGACCCTAGCTTTACTGCAGAAAATTCTCTCTGTGATGACTGTTTATGTCCAACCTGTTAATTTTTCATTTTCAATTGTTTTCTTTATTTCAACTTTTCCTTTATTATCCCTTAAAGCATCTAAAATAGTTAAGACTCAGGATGACTTTAAGAAAAATTGATGAAAGAAAATTCAGAGTCTGCCACAAACATCCTTTTTCTTCCTTAGAAGAAATTTTCTCTGGGGAAGAAAATGATTGAAAGTGTCTTTGATCATAGCACAGGCATTTTGGTTCTCTGTACAGGTGGAATTGTAGCTCAGGTAAAGTTCTAAACTCAGAGATGGAAAAATCCACAGGGAGGGCCGGGAGAGGTGGTAGCCCAGGTGGGAGTAGTCCTTGTCCTTATGTCCTCCTTTGGGAGGACAGCGTGCCCTGGGCCTCCAAAAACTCCAAGGCTCATTGGTCCAGTGGAGAATGATGTTTGATTTTCCAGTGTTATTATACTTCAAGACTTTTGGGAGCAGAAATCTTTATTACTATAGCTATTTCTTTGTCTCTATACAAAGATGAATACAGAAGAGTCTCTAACACAATTTCACATATTATATATTCATTTCTACACAGATGAACTGTAGTGCTTGAAAGGAAACTAGAAATTGTGGCTTTGGGGAAATAACGGAATGAGATGCCTCAGAAGTGATACAGAGTGAGGAGAAAAGATAGATAGTTATGCGGGCATGTTGAGAAAATAATCACTCCATCAGCTGCAGTCGGGGTTTTGAAAGAGAAAAGTCAATGTAGAATGAGACAGGGAAGAGAAGCTGGGCCCAGCTCAGGAGCAGAGGAAACAGACTCTGCCAGAAGCCTTTGGAAACTGTGGGCTCTAGATCTGGGAATGAAAGCTGCAGAGCTTTGCTCAGGGAAGAGTCACAGGCAGTGGTGAACAGGACATCTGGAGGGGCTGAAACCACTGATAAGATAGACATCTAAAAGGCACATTACAGTGGTTTCAATGGTTAGTTCAAAACCAAAAAACTCAACCTGTTGCTGTCAATTCTGACTCACTGTGACCCTGTACAACAGAGCAGAATTGTCCTGTAGGATTTCTGAGGCCACAGATCTTTGTGGAAACCAATTTCCACATCTTTCTCCCACGGTTGCTAGTGAGTTCGAACTCCCAACCTTTTGGATAGCAACTGAGTGCACTGTGGCATCTGAGCTCCTTGGTGGGTTGTTATGAGGGCCCAGATTGGCAGCCATGGCAGGAAAAAAATGCATGTGACACACTGAGAATGCTCAGAAAAAGGAAAAATATGAAAATCTTCACAACTGAGGGGCCGGGAATGAAAATTACATCTCCACCTTTCACTATCTTACACCCTCAACATATTAACAATATTTCTATTTTTCTCTAATAAGTTTGCTGCTGCTTTCATACCAAAGGAAGACTCATGCTGTGGGCCACACATTCAAATCAGGGCCCTAACTCCTAACAGTTGAGGTCTCTCCAAGTATTTATCTTCAAAATAAAATTATGTATTTAATAACCAGTATAAATATGTGCTTTACATCAAACAAAAAAAAAACCTCATTTTTTACTATTTTACCTTTTATTTTCCTTTTAGAACAATATTGTATTCTGTAAAATCAACAGTGCATGTAAAGGCCTCTTCCGAGAGGAGACACACTCTCAGATCTAACCCGAGTGAGCCTGAGGCAGCGCATCTTTTGACAAGCGTATCTCATCTTCAGAACAAAGTGAAAAAAGTAGCCTTGTGACACTGCTTCAGTTTTTTGTTGTTTTGGGTTTTTTTCTCCAGCATCTATGAATATTTCAAATAATTCAGTGGACCTGAGTTGATACATTCGCTGCACCACATTATTCACCCAAAGCAGTCATTCTCATGTATTTTCCCTGTTATTTGCGCCTGATGCTCACACTCCTTTTAGTGGGAACCAGCTGTAGGGCTGTTGGCTGTTGTGTGACACATTCTACAAATTGACCTTCATCTAAAAGAAGGACCAGTGTGTGCCTCAGAGTGAGGTAATCCTGGGAAGGGCTAGAAATTTACAGCTGAGGTACACTGTGAAATCTTGCTGAACTTATGAGATTTCTTAACCACAAGGACTTCTGTTAGTAACTCAAGGTCCCTCCTTCTTTAGAGGCACCTTCTTCCACTTCCAGTCTCAGTGTGGTGCAAATAGTTGTTGTTGATTGCCATCAAGTCGAGCATGACTTATAGTGACTCTATGGACAAAAGACCTAATGCCTTTCCATAACTATCATCATTTCTTCAAGTTCATGAAGTTTCCAGAGGCATGTGGTTTAGGAAATGGATGTCACTCCTGCTTCCAAACCCGTCTAGCAACTGAGAGCTCCACCAAACACTGTCCACAATGGGAAACCATTATGGTATTTGATACCCCAATGGCACAAGGTTCAACATCACAGCAAATCCAGGTTACTTTATACAGTACATTGACAAAGAGTGGTGCACAAAGTGGAAGAGTGTTCCTCCA